AACAATAAGCACATAACTCACCAAAATATCAAATGCCAGTAATTGATTCAAAATGTGTAGTAAGTATGCTTATACTTACCTAGCAGTTTAACTTCCGATGTACCTGAGAATTTATAGTAAAATAACATATATTAAAGCATGTTTTAAGAAATGCCATAAACTCTATTTAGTATCAGAATCAGAGCAATGGCTTCATGGTCAGAAACTAAAAACTGTTAGAGAAAAAGAACATTATCCTCAGCAGACATGACCTCAGGCATCATGAGGAAAGATATAATTGGCACATTGGCTAGAAAGACATCAGTTCTAAACAAGTATTTTCAACATTGGGAAGAAATGTTGATTCATACAGTATAAACTATGATATTAACTGAAAATAATTTACTTATTCTCATCAATGTGACATTAGCAAGTTAGAATATCAACTAACTGAACCACCAGGTGGTGTTCAGGGTAGCTCTTACCTTTATGAGTGCACATCACCCCAGCAAAGATTTATAAGCTCAAGTATTGTATGCCATTCACTTAATGCAAGTAATTAGAATAGGCTTAAATGAGCTGTTAGTATCTGAAAACAATGAGCTGTATCTTCTCAGTTTGACTTAACACAACAAATAATCCCAGTACTTCCATAAATTAATATAACACTCCTTTCTTTCAAAGATCCCAACCACATAATCTTCCTAGCTACCACCTTTCTCTTTGCAGCATGTCCCTATAAGTTAAAAGCCGAATCATTTCCCTACAGTTAATACCCGATAAAAACCAAAGTTAAATAAAATCATGATCACACAGTTAAAAGAACAGCAAAACATCACCCTGCCCACCCAGTTTTTCATCTCTCACTAAGTGAAGCAGTCTTTTTTATACCTGTCTGCCTGGAGATGAGTATTTGGTCAATGTTAAGGCTGGACATACCTAAAAGTGTCAGCTGAGTTTACAGAAGGTAAAATAGTACCATCCACAACTTGTGGTTTACTGCTGAAGCTTCTGGTAGCACCCACAAGGCTGTCTCCAGAGCTCGTAGTACACTACTGTATACCCTGGCAACAAGCTGAAGCTGACAGGATTAGGGTCCAACAGCTGCAGCTTCTGTGTCTCTGGTTGCACAGCAGTGACACGACAAAGCCCAGAAAGCAAAGACTAAATAGCAGTAGGAATGTTCCATGACTGCCTGGGAACACAGCTAGAGATTATGAATACACTCTAGTCCTACAGTGAAGGTGCAAGCTACACAAGAGGAAGCAAACTAAGATTTCAGTTCCAATGCCAAGAGTTATTCTAAGACTCTGTGGCTATGCTGTCCTATGAAATAGAGGCCCTGTAGTTCTTAGGTCACCCATCTGGGTGTGAACACATTTTTAGAATCCAACAACTACACCAGCCATGTGTGTAGCATTGTTTTGTACCAAATCAAATGACCACTATTCCTTCTCACAGAGACTGAACAAGCAGACTGGGATTTGGGTCACTGAGTACACATCAGCATATAGGCATGTACCTCAGGGCACACATAAATTCCTTTTCACTGATAATAAATACTAGCATTAATGTTGCAGGAGGAATCGAATCCAAACAAAACTGCTCACTCAAAAATTTGAGTACAACTTCTAAGAAATACCTTTATACAACAATGTACACAGAGCTTAACTGAGGTCATTTTGTGTATAGGACAGGTCTAGGCATCACAAAGTCCAGTTTTCATTATTCATGTTAATAACTGCTTATGACTTAGAGCCATCAACTTACTGTATTTCTTAGCTTATCTCATTTATAAAACAGAATATAAAAAATACATGGCATGCACTTAGGGAATAAATGTTATAGGTAAAACATTCCTGGAATTCCAAAACCCTGAAGAATTCACACTGCTATACAAAAGAAATTAATTTTTTGTCAGAGGCAATGGAACCAGGATGTACCCTGGTACACAAAAGGAACACATTCCCCATGGAACGATAGTCCCTTAGCCTAGAGACAGGAAGGAGGGTATACCCTACTCCAAATGACTTGACAGATTTTGATGATCCCTCCTGGAAGGCCTCACCCTCCCTGTGGAGTGGGTGGGGAATGGGATGGGGGGGTTGGAGATCATGGGAGGGACAGAGGGAGCAGGAACTGGGATTGATATGTAAGAATATTAAAATATATTTAAATAAAAAAATTTTCAGAGGACACACATGCCTTTTGGGTCTGTTTAAAACAAGAATGAGTAATGATTCGAAGAATAAAAATTATATACCTCTTTCAGGGAGACATCTGAAAGGTCATGAAATCCCCAGTGCTGGATTTACAAGATGCAGAACTCCAAAATCAATTATGTTAACTAACATGGCAATAATAATTTGTTACAATGAAAAGCACGTGGAGATTGATGCCTCCAACTGTGCCTTACAGAAGGATTCTGTGTCTATTAGGAAAGCAAACGTTAAAACACACATACACACACACACACACACACACACACACACACACACACTTACTTCTGTTTCATGACATCACAGAGCATTGAAAGCAGCTAAGAACTCTAGGAATTACTGATTATTGGTTGTTGGAATTGGGATATGTGATGTTCTCTCAGACTCGTTTGAACACTTCCCCATCTGCTTGAGGACATTGTGGAACCTTTAAGAGGTGGGTCTCCTAGAGCTTTCATCCAGTAGTAGCTGATGGAAGCAGAAGCAGACACCCACAGCTAAGCACTGAGCTGAATCCAGTTGCAGAGAGGGAGGAGTGATGAGCAAAGGGATCAAGACCAAGCTAGAGAAACCCACAGAAACAGATGATCTAAACAAGGGGGAGTTCATGGACGCCCAGACTGATAGCTGGGAAACCAGCATACTGACCCAGACCCTCTAAACATGGGTGCCAGTTAAGAGGCCTGGGAAGTCTACAGGACTTCTGGCAGTGGAACCAGGATGTATCCCCGATGCCCGAACAGACTTTGGGAGCACATTCCCCATGGAGGGATACTCCCTCCGCCTAGAGACACCAGGGAATGCCTAGGCCCTACCCCAAATGACTTGACAGATTTTGATGATCCTTCATGGAAGGCCTCATCCTCTCTGGGGAGTGGATGGGGCATAGGATGGGGGGCTCAGAGGGGAGAATGGAAGGATGGGAGGGAGAGGGAACTGGGATTGATGTGTAAAAATAAGAAAAATTAAAAAAAAAAAAAGTGGGAGTAGGTTGCTGAGAGGTAGAACTTGAAGTTTACAGTCCAATTTGAATTCCAGCTTGCTTACTAGTCCAGATGTGTACAAACTCTTGCCACCAGGTCTAACGTACCAAAATTAAAGAATCCTTTCTGGAGCAAGCAAGACAGCCTGGCAATGACAAGCTGCTGCTGGGTCTTGCAGATAACCAAGGTTTAGTTCCCAGTAGCCACATAGTGACTAGTAGCCAAATATATCTCCAGTTCCAGCGCCCTCTAATGGCCTTCTTGGGCTTCTGCACTCAAACATTCACACCAGTAAATTAAATAGACCCTCCTGCTTCTTTTAAGCATTTACCATAGGAGTAAGAAACATTAAACCCTACTCAGGTGAAATAAAAAGGCTTGAGAAACCAGACCAAGGGAAAGACGCACGTACTCCCAGACAATTCTGGGCAACCTCACAGAACTGCAGACACAAAGTAATATTTGGGGCTGGCAAAGTAGCTAGGAACTGAAAGCCCAGGGTTCCAGAAATGGGTTGATTTTACACTCATGGCTTATTACCTAAGCAAAAGGAGACCAAAGTCAAAAATGAGAAGAGAAACACCCAAGTTTCCGGTGGGTTCTCATGGAAGCCATTTCCCAGGAATGAGGGGACTGCAAACCCCTCAGCGCTGCTGCCTCTCCTCAAAACAGACCTGCACAGACAGCCAAAAACTTTTCTTCAGCTTTTCAGACTGCCAGTGTTTACAACGCAAACTATACAACAGCATGTACTCACAGGTGACCCAGGCATTGACTTTAAAAGAACTGTGTTTAACATGATACAAAGAACTGAACAAATTGCTTTAACAGTAAAATGATAAAGAAAAAAATTAATGAGCTGAAGGGTTACTTTATAAAGTATATGATGCTCATAATCCTAACTAAACTATAGATATACCAATTTGTTCTATATAGTAATTTGCTTTTGCTACTGTCTCAAACACAATTTATTCTCATAAGTAAAAAGCACCCTTGAAATTTTTAGAATAAACTTGCTGAGACCATACAATGTTCCTCCATGATCTAGGCATGAGACTCTCTCCTGCTCTCTGCCTTGGAACAACAGTGGGAGGCAGAGAATCATTGAGTTGCTGGAACTGCCAGATTGTGGACTGAAAAGTAAGGATATATTTCTTGTTGTCCAGGTCTCAGTTAGAAGAAAGCATATTGAGAGACTACTCATCAATATAAACCTTTTCCTTTTCCTGGATGTGGTCTCAAGGCAAGATAATAGAAACAATGAGAAAGTAGAAAATGCCAGAAAAATTGTAACACACTGAAACACTGTTCAGTTTAGCAACCACATCTGAAAACCATACACTTTGCCCTCACTGTCTGAGGCAGTTGACGCTGGGAGGCATCCCAGACCAGAGCAGCACCAGGGTCTGTAGTTCATGTAGTTCATGTGAACCTATTACTAAAGAATATTTATGAAATAAAAATGTTAAAAAGTCAGTAATACTTATGAACACTGACCAGAGGCCTGTGCAATATTGACTGTTTCTGCATTAAGGAGGCACTCTGAGACTGTCCCAAGTGGCTGCAAATGTGCATTTTAAAGTTCTACCCACAGGTATAGGAACATGTCTATCCCTGTAATGGTTACCCAGATGAATTGGTCTGGCTACTACTGTAACTGTTCACCACAGTTTGACCAAAACATTTCATGTTTCAATGTTATTTGTGGATGATAATATAGACACTAAGACAAACATTTCATGTAAGGTTTTTCTGTTCTTTGATTTTTAATAAACTTTAGAAACCATAAAAAAAAAACCACTATACATTCAAAATGGAAATTGTATAAATAGATTTAATCTTGTGCTCTCAATACATATTCACTGAAAACATTGTTCTTCCAAATTGATGGCCTTGTTAAATTGGGCTTTTCTTTTCCTTCTCTTCATTAGCTTCCCTTTTTTCTTCCCAAATACAGGTTTAGCAGTCACTAGGACAGCCTTGGCTTTGTCCCCATTGTCCTCACTGGAGCTGCTAGTGGACATATAACCATCCCTTCTGTGAGCATCTCTCACTACTTCAGGCAAATCCGAACAGCTGCCTGTGGAGGACTCAGCTGTTTTTCTCTGCCGTGTGCAGGTCACAGATAAACTTTCTGTATCCTCACTTGAATCCCCAGGTGATTCTGAGAGGTGGGTGTCCCCCAGAAATCCACCACTTCCTGAAGACCTCCTTTTTGGGGAGACTGATGTCTCTCTTGGGCTCATCAGGCTTCTTTTTCGGGTTTTCCATTTTGACTCATCCAGGACCTCAGAATCTTTCTCCAGCTCACTAGCTGTCTCTTCTCTTTCTTTCCTTAGCATACATGTCACAGCTCTGTTAAGCCTTTGGCTTTTTATGTGTTTGGCATCTTGTTTGTCCTGTTGAGCTAATCTAAAAAAAGAATCAATCCGTAGCTGGGTCTAAAATAAAATAAAACAATAAATTAGATTAGTGAGAAGCTTCTAGACCAAATTAACAAGTTCAATTCTGATCACTTAATCACTCACACTGGATTACTAGTTCTGAGAATTCAGATTCATGACCACCCAGAAGGCAGTTATAGCTGGTTTTTGGGTTTTGTTGTTATTGTTGTAACTTTCTTATTTTTCTATTTGTTTGGTTTTGGTAACAATTGTATCCTCTTCTTTGGCAGCAACAAAATTCCCAGTCTGTGTCTAAAGGCATTATCATCTGGACAAGATCCCTAATGCATTAGGAGCCATTAAAAGTCACACAGGAAATAAAAGTTAACCCTTTACTTCAGCAAATCCACTTCTGAGAAGATAAACTGCTTGTTTGGGGGGGGGGGTAGTAGGGGGGGTGTTTTGCTTCTTAAGACAGTGTTTTGTTTTGTTTTTATGGAACAGCATTGGATATACTGGAACTCTCTTTGTAGACCAGTCTGGCCAGGAACTCATAGAGATGCTACCTGCTTCTAACTCCTGGGATTAAAGGCATGCAGCACCATGGCCTACTGAGAAGATACTCTTAAACCTAGTATGAATAACAGCATTATTTGTAACTACTCAAAAACTAAAATCTCCAAAAGAAGCAGAGCAATGTGAACTCTTCCATGGAACATAAGCTGGTCTTCTGGAACTATTAAAAGCATGCAATCCACAGGTGGTGTACACTGATGAGCAAGAGTAAGGGGAGACCCACTCTACCAAGAGGCATTTATGTAAAGGAGTGAATTAATGTGGGAAGTAAGGGAAAATAAACCCGTGTCAGCAACTATTAGGATAAGATAGCGGTTTTAATCTACTGTTTTTACATTGTAATTTTAGAGAGAAAACCATGCATAATGGGAAAAGAAAATACATTACAATGGCATATCTAAAACTAAGGAATAAGCAGTCACTAGAAAATACTTTCATTCTTGGTGGGCTTCTATTTCTGGTAGGTAAAAGTCATCAGATAAACAAGAGGGAATCCCTGGGAATAGTCTTAAAATCAGTTGTACTGGATTTTTTTTTTTTTTTCCTAAATTACTCAGACTTAATGGGAACTGATTTCATTGTCTTAAAAAGTACAGTCTCGTTTCTATTTACAAGTATGTTTTATGAGTGGCTTCTGAGATGGAGGAAAGCTTATCTAATATGAGCAGGACATAAAGATAAAATAAGCAGAAATACCCATTTGGAAGAATTGAAGGCCACACAAAAGGGCATTTCCTCCTAAAAACCTCTCTTGTAGAAATGTTACTATAAAAACAAGACCCTAAGTTGTAACCTGAAATGTTAGTGTTTAAAGAAACTTGAATGCTTAGAATTGTTTTGAAGTGACTACTTCCAGGGCTTTTAAGAATTGAAGACAGATAGTTCCAAAGGAGTAATACATTATATCTCAAACATCTTACTATGAAATCATTTATTAGACTACAATGTTTTCAAAGTCAATATAAATTAAGGACACAGCAGTGCTAACAGTGATATTAAAAAAATGGACTCAGGGCCCAATTTCCCCCTTAAGTTTTACTCTATTCTTTAAGGCATCATCATTTCAAATCTTCAGTTATTTGCCCTGAAATAAGAGTTAACTGGATATTAATAGTAGCCATCCTACTAACTGCAGTCATCACTCTGGATATAAAGAAAACCCAGTTACCTGCTGGGCATTCAGTTGCTTTAGTACTGGAAAAAGGGATTCATCTGTCTTCGTCTTGTTCCAGCCAAAATACCTCTGACAAAATGTGCTGGCAGTTAAGATTTAAAGATTTTTTTAAAGAGACTTAACAAGTAATAAACAAAAAGATCCAAGAGCCAACTATTGATGCCATTGACTGTATTCCCAGGGATAATCATAGTTATGAAGATTGAAGTGGTCAGATAAAAGGCTAACAAGACAAGCCACTCTAACAAGATCATCTTGAGGTATGTTCTGGTCAATCTCCTATAGTAGAAGACACTCAAAAATTTGTACCAGGACATTAAAGACTCCTCACTACAAAGCATGACTAACCTAGAATAAAAGCAAGGAGCAGATATCCTACATTCTTGTTAAGAAAGGAGGTTGTACTTGTGATAAGTCTATTGTAGATATTGAAGCTGACATCCAAATAATTATTTAAATGCACAGAATAGAGAGCCAGCAATCTTCCATATTCTTTCAGAATAATTAATCTTAAACATGTGGTCATATCATGCATGCTGCAGCTGCATTTGCCTCATATGTATGAAGCCCTGAGTTCATTCTCCGGCAAGAAAAGGAGAGGAGAGGAGGGAAAAGGAGGGGTGAGGAAGGGAGAGGTAGGGAAGAGAGGGGAAGGGAAAAGGGAAGGAGAAGGAAAAAGGAAAGGGAAACCTCAATAAAATAATAAAACTAAAGAGGGAAAGAACTAATATTCTCAGATAAATGGAACACTGGAGAAATAACAAAGCTAGGTTCCTGTCACCCAAGGTTTAAACCCAAAAAATCTACAGTTTAATATTTCCATAAATTTTAAGAAAGGATATTCTCTAATCTTGTCAATATCAGGTTTGCCCCATAGAAATGATCCCCTGGAGTCATCCACCACAGGCCTGAGGTAAGCATCTGCAACTGCAGGGTTGGGGAAGCCAGGTGTCAGCTGCAACTTCCGTAACTTCTTTTTTACTTTGGTGTCATGGGGATTGGCTGCAACCTTCTTGCTGTTTTGAGCTTCATGCCACCACTCTCTGCAAGATAATGGGAGCAATTACTCACAAGGCAGGGAGACCTTACAGTTCCACACTGGAGGGAAAGAGCAAAATGTAAGTTCTGAAATGTAATTTCAAGTCTGGATTCTAGCACAAACATGTGTGGTATAGAATACTAAGCTACAAGGTACAGACCTTACACCCTGTTAAGTATTTCTTGTGGCATGCCAATACCCTCACCTCTCAGAAAAGGAAATAACTCACACAGAAGTACCTTGCTCAAGACACCCTAAGTGGGGCTGGACTGTCAGATGACAAACACCCAGAATTTCCACTCAAATCTAAAGAGTACAAAGCCACAACTCTCCAGGCCTCTTGTCAGTGAAATGGAAGATACAGTGAATTCAAAAATGTCAAGAACACAATGGCGTTTTAGTGCAGATAGCATTCAACACAAAGTAGGATATGATAGACAGAGGGCATATGTGCAGAAAGAAAGACAGTAGGCAAGTCTTTTAAATTATAAATAGTAGCAAGAGCTATTGTTCTCTGATGTATTGAGCAATGTTCTAAGCAAAAATAGACTCTTAATTTTGCTTTTTTATATTAAGTCTATTTTTCCATCTTAATGATAATTTATTATGGCAAGTTAAAGTCATACTGGGTTTGTTGTTGTTGTTGTTGTTTTGTTTTTTTCTTTTAACACTCCTATGAAGAAGTGAAGTTAGTTTGTCTCTGTGACTTTGGAAAATGATCAGAAGTAATAGAGGTGGAGCATAAGACAAGCCTGTCCACTTCCCATCTCTGAAAGAAGTTACTATTGGAAGCAATCACCATGACTTAAGAGGCCTGTGCTCATGCAGAGGTCTAGATGCAGAGGATCCAAGGCCTGCTGCATTCTGTCTGTCTCTTAACTAACAACGCCTACTGCCTGGAATGTGAAACATTCAGCAGGTCCTTGAACTTTGAGCTGTTCCAAGACAGGCAACAAGAATAAAAAACTTCCAAGCAAGCTTCAGTCAGGAACAAAACCACTGCACTGCTGGTGGAGGCTACAGAGGTTTAAGGTACTTAACTACAATGTGCCAACAGAAAACACTATGGAAATTAAAACATGCTCCTCATTTACCCAATCACTCTGTGGATCATGAAGAACAGTTCTACTTCTTCACATATTAGGACCCAAAACTGGGCTCCAGCCTCCAGTATACCTCAGTGAATGACTTGGGAGTGTGATCTAGAGTTCAGAAACCTAACAGTGGTCTTCACCAATACCAAAATGCAAGGGGAAAATAATGCTTTCTTTTTAAGACTTTTTTTTTTTTTTTTTTTTTTTGAGTATGTGTGCATCTGTCCCCAGCGGCCACCTAATATAGGTAATGAGACCTGAACTTGTGTCCTCTATGAGAGTGACAAGTGCTCTTAACACTGAACCCATCTCTCCAGCCCCTTAGAAAAATATTTTCTTAACCAGTATTACAACACAATACTCAAGAAACACACTGAGTGTCAGGACTAAATCTATCATTTAACGTAAGAGAGCCAGGCACTGCAGAGGAAGATGGAAGGGGGGAGGGGAGGCTGAGTCTCTCAACCAGGCTGTGAGGAGACAGTAGAAGTGTCAGCCACTGTGATGAGACTGAAAGACACATGCCTGGAAGGGGAGCTGCTGTCCCTCCATCCCAGCTATCCCGGGGTTATTTAGGAACAGGTGCCCAGGATCTTTAGAGCTCCTTTTCTTCTGAAACAAATTAAACACCAAATTTAAATGCTACTGATAAAAAAGTAAGGTGGCATGCAGAGTTCCACTAGATTCCTACCTCTCTTCCTAAACATTAGCTCTGGGAATGCCTGACTTTTCAATTGAAACTCTAAGAGCCAGATCACCATAAACAGATGTCTACAGACTCTAAAGAACAAGATGACAGCCCAGACGTCTCTACCCAGAAAAAAATCTCAATCACAATAGAAAGAGAAAATAAGACATTTCATGATAAAACCAAATTAAGCAATCTATCTATAAAAACAGCCCTACAGAAGGTGCTAGGAGGAAAACTCCAACTTAAATTCCTTAACCACACAGGAAAACATACCCAGACCAGTAAATCAAGAAAGGAAACACACACACACACACACACACACACACACACACACACACACACACACACACACACACCAACAACAATAATAAACACTCATTGATATCTGTCAATATCAATGGTCCCAATTCCCCAGTAAATAGACACAGACTAATAGAATCGGAGTTAATAAGGACCCATATTCTTTTAACTCGAAGAAATACACCTTAATATCAAAAATAGAATTCACCTCACAGGGTAAAGGGATGGAAAAAGATATTCAAGCAAATGAAACTAGGAAGCAAGATGGTATGGTCGTTTTTGTAACAAACAAACTAGATTTCAAACCAAAACTAATCAGAAGAGATAGGGAAGAACACAACATGTTGTTCAAAAGAAGAATCCACTAAAAGGATATCAAAATTCTTAACATCTATGACCCAAATATAAGGGTACCCACCTTTGTAAGAGAAGCAGTACTGCAGCACAAATCACACATAGACCCTCACACACTAATAGTGGGAGATTTCAATACACAACTCTCACTAAAGGACAAGTCATCTAGAAAAAAAACTAAATAGAGGAATGCTAGTGATAAGCTTATAAACCAAATGGCCCTAACAAATACTTACAAACATTTCACCCAAACACAAAAGAATACTTTTTCTCAGCAGCTCATGGAATTTTCTCCAAGTTTACTGCATATGAGAACACAAAGCAAGTTTCAACAAATGTATGTGTATATATATCAAATGTATATAACAACAAATGTATATAAAATTATATATATATATATATATATATATATATATATATATATATATATATATTACCCTTCATCCTGTCTGATGACCATGGATTAAAACTATCATCAATAACAAAATGACACAAAGCTTACAAACTCTGAAAAACTGAATAATTCACCAGGTCAAGACAGAAATAAAGAAATTAAAGACTTTCTAGAGTTGAATGAAAGTGAATACACTACATACCCAAACTTATGGAACAAAATTAAGGCAGTTCTAAGAGGCAAGTTCATAGCACTAAGTGCCTACATAAAAGAGATTGGCATACCCTTATCCAAACTAACAAAAAGGAAGAAAGAGAAGATCTAAATTAACAAAACTAGACATGAACAGAGGGACATAACAAGAGACACTGAAGAAATCCAGAGAATCATACGGATATACTTTTAAAAAATTGGAAAATCTAAAGAAATGGATAATTTTCTTGATACATACAACTCTTAACCAAGAAATGGCCCAAGGTCAGCTGGTTTTAGTGCAGAATTCTACCAAACTTTCAAAGAAGAGTTGACACCAATATACCTCAAATTAATTACACAAAATAAACACAAAAGAAACACTGGCCAATTCATTTTGTGAGGCCACAGTTACCATGATCCTCAAATCACATAAAAACCCAAAAAGAACAAGAATTACAGACCAATTTCCTTTATGAGAACAGATGCAAAAATTTTCAATAAAATACTTGCAAACCGAATCCAATAACACATCAAAAATCTACCATGGTCAAGTAAGTTTTATCCCAGAGATGCAGGGATCATTCAATACATGGAAATCAATAAATGTAGTCCTTCATATAAACAAACTGAAAGAATAAAACCATATGATCAACTTATTAGATGCAGAAAATGCCTTTGACAAAATCCAACCTACTTCATAATAAAAGTCCTGGAGAGATTAGAGATTCAAGGAACACACCCAAACATATAAAAGGCAGTTAGAGCTAACCTATTGCTAACATAAAATTAAATGAATAGAAACTCAAAGCAATTCCACTAAAATCAGGAACAAGACAAAGCTGTCCAATCTCTCCACCTATTCAATATAGGTAAGTACTTAAGTCTTATCTAGTACAGTAAGACAACTGAAGGAGATAAATGGGATACAAATTGTAAAGGAAGAAATCAAAGTATATTTATTTGCAGATGATATGATAGTATATATACATGGCCATAAAAATTTCACCTGGAAACTCTTACAGCTGATACATACATTCAGCAAAGTGGCTGAATACAAAATTAACAAAAAAAAAAAAAAAAAAAGAAAGAAAGAAAGAAAGAAAGAAAGGAAGGAAGATAAGTAGGCTTCCTACAGACAAATGACAAATGGACTAAGAAAGAAATCAGGGAATAAACACTTTCCACAACAGCCTCAAATAATATAAAATATCTTGGGGTAACTCTAAGCAAACAAGTGAAGGATTTGTATGATAGAAATGTCAAACCTTTGAAGAAAGAAATTGAAGAAGACACAAGAAGATGGAAAGATCTCCTATGTTCATGGATTAGTAGGATTAATATAGTAAAAATAGCATCTACAGATTCAATGCAATCCCATTCAAATTTCAACACTCTCCACAGATCTTGGATGGACAATTTTCAGTTTCTTATAGAAACAAAAAACTCAGGAAGCAAAAACAATCCTGAACAATAAAAGGACTGCTGGAGAACTCACCATCCTGGATTTCAAATTGCACTACAGAACTGTAGTAATAAAAAACACATGGTATGGGGATAAAAAACAGACACCAATGGAATAGAAATGAAGACCCAAACCTATAGATACCTGATTTTTTATAAACAAGGAAAAAAGACAACATCTTCAATAAATGATGCTGGCCAAACTGGATGTCTGCATATAGAAGAATTAAAATAGATTCATACTTACCCCCAGCACAAAACTCAACCCCAAATGGATCAAAGGCTTTAACATTAAACCAGATACACTGAATCTGACAGAAAAGGGGAATAGCCTTGAACTGGTTGGCACAGTAAAAGGCTTTCTGAACAGAACACCAGGAGAACAGGCATGAAGATCAACAATAAGTATCTCATGAAACTGAGAAGCTTCTGTATGACAAAGACAGTCATTCTGACAAGGTTGGAACCCCCAAACAATTCAGATGTTGTTCTCCACAGACTGACAGCAAGAAGCCACTGCTGAAGACAACACCTACACACTCATTGAACATGGAGAAGTCAAAACTGGTGTCTAAATGACCTTACCCCTATGTGCTGGTGTCTTCTGTACAGGAAGGTACTCAGCATGCTACTAAAAGATAAATGTAAACACCAAACCAGCAACAAAATTTCTGAACTATAATCATGTCCTGGCTGCAAGATATGTTAGGGAAATGTGGCACAAAGCTTGTAGAAATAACCAAACAGTATCTGATCTGACTTAAGGCCCTCTCTTAGGAGATGGAAGCCACACCTGACCCTGCTTGAGTAACCAAGAACCTGAGACTCTACAGTTCAGGGACCAAGGGTAAAATCAAATACTAATTGCCTTAAAAGAAAAAAAAGTAGCAATAAAATGAATCCTAATGACATTCTGCTATACTTATATACTAATAGATCAGTGCCTTGCTCAGTCACCATCAGAGAAGCTTCCTCTTGAAGCAGACAGAAACAAATACAGAGAACCACTGCCAGGCATTATATAGAGAGTGAGAGACCTTGAAACACACAGCCCTAAATGGGATGTGTCTATCAAGTCCCTTCCCTCAGGGCTCAGGGAACACCAAGGGAAAGGAAGGGGAAGAGTGTTCTTTGCCTGTATATTACGGCTTCCAGGTTAGTGTTTTATGGGGTTCCTGAGAGTGTGAATAATAGGTCTCTGATTCTTGTGTCTTCTCTTAATCTCTTTTCCTTCTGTTTGTTTTACACAATTCCAATGTGTTAGTTTTTAACTTATTTTATTATTATACCATAGAAGCCTTTCTTCTAATGAGAGACAGAAAGGGGGTGGATCAAGATTGGAGTTGAAGTGGGGAGGAGCTGGGAGCAGAGGGAAAAGAAACCATAATCAGGATATATTATGTAAGAAAAAAAATATCTACTTTCAATAAAAGGAAAAACAGCATAAGAAAATAAAATAATAGTATACTCTAAAACAGTAATACGTTACATAAACAACAGTATACAATACACCAGCTAGTGCACATGTGTACATGTATGTACATGTCTAATGGGTATAATATGCATGTAATTGCAGATTCTTCCAACTAAATATATTTGCATAAACCACAGTGTTAAGTATAGTAATTTTGATGCATCCTATGTAATGTTTCAATGATATATTTATGCACTTGTGGAAGAATGTTATTTGCAGCTACATAGTTATTTACCAACCATGTTTAATGAGCTATATAATAACTTACCCCAGTATGTCAATTTCTCAATGAGGTGGTGGTGGCACAAACTTTTAATTCCAGCAATTGGGAAGCAGAGGCAGGTGGATCTCTGTGAGTTCAAGGCCAGCCTGGTCTACAGAGCCAGTTCCAGAATAGCTAGGGCTACACAGAAAAACCATGTCTCAAAAGAAAGAAAGGAAGGAAGGGAAGGAAGGAGGGAGGGAGGAAGAAAGGAAGAAAGGGAGAAAGAAAGAAGAAAAAAGGTGCAATAAAAGAAAGCAAGCATTAGCTGAGTATAGCAGCATGTGCCCTGAGGCTCTATGGAACCAGCAATCACTGCAATCCCACTTCGCATTTAAGTATTCATTCTTCAGACCATAAGGTCCCTGCATGTTTTCAGACCCAGGAGATTCAACTATAGAGAACACAACTGAATTAAATTGACTACCTGTGGCAAACTGATGGTTGCAAGGTACCCTCCACAACTCTGAATAAACTAGATAACAATGAATTGTATTTTTTAAGGGTCAATTTATGTTATGTGAGTCATATTTCAAGTTAAAAAAAATTCCATTGAGGGAAAACTTAGTTTTTTTCTACTGAGTCACCAAGATGGGCAAACAGGTAAAGGTGCTTGCTGCCAAGCCAAATGACCTAAGTTCAATCACGAGGACCCACACGGTGGAAAGGGTACTGAGCCTCACAAGTTGTTCTGACTGTCCACACTGAGATGGCTCAAGATTAATAGCACTGGCTACTTTTCCAGAGGGTCCAGGTTCAATTCTCAAAACCCACATGGTGGCTAATAACTACCTGTAACTCCAGTCCCAGGGAATCTGACACCCTCTTCTGGCCTCTGCAGGTACTGCATGCTTGAGATATACATGCAGACAAGACAGCCATAATCATAAAAATAAATAAATCTTTAAATATGTAACACAATTTTTAAAAAGTTCTTTCATAGACACAACTACTACCATCTCTGGGATTGGGAATCTCTGCTAAATAATATTGATGGCAAAATGGTCAGCACCTAGACTCATTATGAAGACAAACTTCTGAGCATGTCTGTGACAGAGCTTTTAGGCTAATTAATTTAGGTATGAAGTCTGTCCCCCTAAATATGAGCAACAACATCTCATGAGCTGTGATTCAGACTGAATGACAGGGAGAAAGTGAGCTGGGCAAAGCATGTACTTCTGTCTGCTTCTGACCATCATTCTTGCCTGGCCACAACAGACTAAACCTTGAACCAACAGCAAGATCCAACAAAATTAACCTTCCTTAAGTGACTCATGTCAGATACTTGTCACAGCCATGTTGAAGGAATAAACACTTGGTCTCCAAAGTTCAGAAGTTGCACATCAAGTACAGTGCAGTAATGGGTCAACACATGCATTTTCATGGACATGACGTATATAGGAAGTTCTTGGCCCCGAACCTCCAAGCACTTTCCTGGTTGACTTCTTTCATAACACTGAACATGTGATAAACAATTTCACTGGCAACACTAAACAATTTCATTTGCTTTTCCATTACCCAATCCCACAAAGAACCTTGAGGGTGCAGACAGTGCCTACTCACCTTTCCCAATGCTAAGACCTGCACATGACTCATATCGGCTACTCCATAAACATCTAAATGAACTCAGAAGCAGCTCACACACTAATGAGTGCTGCAAAATGGGATCTGTGTCCTTGGACTAGGATAAACCAGGCATGACTAAGAAGAAAACAGACTCATGAGGGCCCTAGAAACCACAGCTGCTGTCTCCCACTGCTTCTTCAATGAACAGTGGCTTGGAACATCATGATTTCAAAAAGAGATTCCCCTGGGGTGGTGGCACATACTTATAGAAGCAGCTATGTAGGAAGCTGAGGCTGGAACATTGCAAGTTTGAGGTTAGCCTAGGCAATACAATAAGAGCTCAATTTATCAAAAAAAGAAAAAAATCATTTGTGAATCTGAGTATTTATATAAATACATAAATTAAAGGCATGAAGAAAAACCTTACGAGAATTTTAGGAGTGGGTCCAGACCTCGTCCGGGGAATTCATTGAGAATCTCCATGGCTGTTACACAGCCAACAGTTGGGATCCCTTCAGTATAATCACTGCCCAGTAGATAAGCCAAGTTGATTAATTTGTTCCGGTCCAATCCTGTATGAATAGCAACAATTTGATTTCATATTTTTATAAAAGTTATATTACATAAGTATTTTTATTATATAAACTGTGTATAATAGACCAACATCCAAAGACATGTTTTATTTAAAAATATTTTGTTAAATATCATTATATTGAGATTTTAAGTTTTAACTATTCTCATTTTAAATTGTGTATATATGCTGACCTCTACATTTAGCTATCTAACCTGCTCCCTCTGACCACAGGCACAAGCATTCCACTACCAAATGTATGCAGATCTAGGGAGCTTGGATTGAACTCATTCCTACTCAACTCTCTCTTCCTCTACTCCATTCTACCACTGGCCCAAAACTGGGACACCAGAAGCCCTCCTCCTATATCCAGGACACAAACAGTTTTCTCTGGTGCACTAGACATTACAAGGCTGCAGTATCTTCTCTCTGATGTATATTGATATCATCGTCCTCCCCCATTCCCCCTGGCTCCTAACCTCCCTAGAACATGTATATAAGCAATCTCTGTCTAGAGGTCTTGCAAGTATTTAAGTCCCTCTGATATGATCTTTGTTAACCATCTATTTACAGCTTTGCTATTTCCTTATGGAGCCTACCCTAAGCTGCCACAAAGCCTTTCCTAACAATACCTCTGTCAGGAGCATCATGTGCTTTCCCACAGCTGCACCTCATTCTTGTTCTGCTGTTTTTCCCTCCATGGTGCACACCAAATGTCACATTATGACTTATTTCCATGGCCAACATCTTTTCCATCCACTAGACTGATTGTTTCATTCTCTGCTATTTTCTCACTATCAAGAATGACTGGCATATGAGAGCCACTCAGTGTGCATCCCCCAGCTGGTCAACATCAGGAGCAACAATGGTTCCATTCCTCACCCTAAGAGAGCATCTCTGGTTCATTGTCAGGTAACTCAACTAACCTTGTAGATGACTTAAGTGCAAGAAAGATACTAGGATTTTAACTTCTTAAATCTAAGTTTTAAAATCTTATGACCTCTTATTTCCATTCATGCACCAAATTAGTTCCTTCAGCAGAAAACCACATGAGGCAAATCAGGAGGGTGAACTGTGGGAAGTGACAACACTCTTGAGTCTTACCTAATTGGTTATGAAAATCCACATATTGGTAGTATTCTACAAACTTGTTTTTGTTAAAAAAATTTTTATAGACATGCCGGGCCCCAAAGAGCCAGATATCACTATCATCAGTGATGGTCCCAGAAGTCTGATCAGTAAGGTCCAGGATGGCACACTGTGCCTCTGCCTCCATGGGAGCCTGGATATAGGGAATGCCAAACAAGCGCAGGAGTTCCTGTAGTAAGAGAAACCACCCACAGGGAAATGCATTGTTGTCCTCAATCGATCACAAGGGTGTGACACTATCACACAGCCCTTTCGACAGTAAGGGCAACTTTACAGGAGCCCAAATAAAGTCATACTCACCTGACTTTCCAGAAACATCTGGCCTGTTACAGAGGCAGCAATCCGTTCTTGCTGCTGTTTTTGAGCTTCCAGTGAATTCTGCTCTGCTAAGAGGTTACTCTCCAGGCTGTCTAGTTCCTCCTAGAAAACATGCTCCCATTTACAGATCATTACAGTCATGATCCAATTATGTTTATTTGTTGCAACAGCAACAACAACAAAAGTCTACATTCCTTTGGCTAAAAGGATCAATAGGGTGTTTCTCCTTACATTGTTTTCCTCTTGGGATTTCTAGGCAAGACTGTTCCTTTCAGTCTCTTCATTATATCATAAGAGAAACCTATCTACTCCAGATGTAACTCACATTTCAAAAGGTAACTATGATTAACAAGAAGATGATTTAAAAATAGCTAGTAATTATTTATCCAGCAACTCTTAAAATCTCAAAAGTCACAGGCTTGGCTTCCTTGGTACTAAGTTAAAACATAGTATTATATTATTACCAGATTAATATCTAGCCATTCATTAGGCGAGTCCTCAGCATCTCTGTCAGCTTTGTTGTGTTCTTCCTTAGCCAAGTCTTCACTGTCAAAGCTGTCCTGTAGGAGGTGTTCTGTGTCTCTGGGGGTTTCTTCTACCAGAATTCCTCTTGGTTCCTCTTCATCTTGTTCAGAGGGAGGTTTAGAAGCCTCTGATGACTCTGTTTCAAGTTCACCATCACTGATCACACTCTGCACCTCAACGAAACTTCCTGTCCAAAAAATAACGATGTCACTTCATCTACAATGAGAACATTAGAATCACTCTGAAGTCATCAAAACTTTCTCAACAGTCCTGAAAAATGTCAGACTCCAAAGAAAGGATTTAACTATAACTCAAACATGCAATTAACTTGTTATTCTTAAATACACTACATTACAAATGCTCACCTAGCACTTCCAAAAAAGCTTTTTCCATTAGACAAATTGATATATTAGGCTTTTGGTCACTGAAAGTAGGAACAAAATTCTCAAAGACTTGCATATTAGCTATATAAAACTATGTTCTATTAACTAATGTTGTTTTTAAAACACAGAAAGGAAGCCAGGGAAGCAGATAGGTGGACAGTAGGTCACATCTGGATCTACAGGCTGCAGGAAGAGAGAATGGGCCTGGCTTCAACTTCTACAACCTCAAAGTCCACCCACCCCCAGTGGCACACTTCATCCAACAAGACCACACCTACCCTGACAAGGCCATGCCTCCTAACAGAGCCACACATATGAGAATACGGGGGCAATTTTCATTCAAAACACCACAATCATCTGGACAAAAACTAAACAGAGATATGTTGGAGCTAACAGATGTTATAAAGCAAATGGACCTAACCAATATTTATAGAAAATTTAACCCAAACACAAGTTAATATACATTCTTCTCAGCATCTCATGGAACTTTCTCCAAATTTGACCAAAGACTCAGACACTAAACAAGTCTCAACAGATTAACAGAAACAACAGAAAGCTTACAAACTTATGGAAACTGAACAAACTCTATACTAAATGAAAAATGGACCGAAACAGAAATAAAGAAAGAAATTAAAGACTCTCTAGAATTCAATGATTTTCATTTCAAATACACCCAAACTTAGGAGACAGAATGAAAGTGGTGCTAAAAGGAAGTTCACAGCACTAAGTGCCTACATAAAAAAAAAACAAAAGCAAAACAAAAAACCCGAAGATAATCTCATCCTGGAAATTTAACAGCCCACCTTGGAAGAGTTACTACTTTCAGGGGAAAGGTATCCTGACTGTCGGAAGTCAGGTGTATAATACCTGCGAGTGTTGTAGCTCAGGAAGGAACTATCCTGACTTGTTGGGAAGTCAGGATACAACTGTGAGAGGAAGGTATTCCGGATACCTACAGCTGTGAGGAGAAAGGTATCCTGACTTATCAGGCTATACCTGAAGCTGGGGTCCAGTCAGTGATGGTCTCCCCATAGGATGTGGCATTCAGGCTCCTTTCTTAGAGACAGTCACTACAGCTGAGCTCTATTCCACTCCCATAAGGGAGTTTCCCAGCAGACATGTCTATTTCTTCTCAACTCCACTCTTCTTCTGCCTCACTCTGTTAAGGGGGAAACCACTGCAGAAATGTAGCAATCTACTCCAGCTCCACAGAAAAGTTGCTACTTCTGCTCCACTCCCCAAAGGAAGTTTCCCAGCAGAGACCTCCATTGCATCTCTGCTCCACTCCACTGGGGAGTTTCCCAGCAGAGATTCTGCTCTGCTCCAGTGAAAGGCCTTGACCCAAATCTCTTTCAAGAGATTTTGGAAGGCGTTATCCTGAAGAGTAGTTGTCTCTGCCAGGATGGAGAAGGGCAGCTCCCAACTGAACAGGCACAGGGCTTATACAGGGCTTCTTTGGGTGTACTTTTACCAGAGAGAAGACTTTCAGGGTGGGAATTGGTCAGATTTCAATCCCTTTGAGCTTGAACAAGCTCAGATTAGCCATATTTCATGCTTAGGAATTGGTTGGCTTTGTACTCAGTTTGTCAGGGGCAGATTTAACTCTGGTTTCAGGGCCAACATATATTTCTTTCACAGAGTCAGGATGAGTTTTTTTTCACTGGCTCTGGTTTCAGGGTCAAGATGAGTTTCTTTGGCTGGCCCTTTTACCTGACACACCTGAAAGCTCTAGAACAAAAAGAAGTAAGCACACTCAAGAGAAATAGATGGCAAGAGATAATGAAACTGAGGGCAACAAATAGAATAATTCAAAGAATCAATGAAACAAAGAGTTGATTCTTGGAAAAAAACAACATGATATACAAACTCTCATCCAAAATAACTAAAGGGGGGAGACTTTCCAAATAAACAAAATCAGAAATAAAAAGGGCATCATAACAACATACACCCAAGAATCCAGAGAATCATACAAATCTATACCCAACAAAATTGGAAAACCTAAAAGAAGTGGCTCACCCATGAGCCAGTGTGCCTGACTTATAAGCTCCACTAAGAATCACGGCTCCTTGATGAAATGCTAGACAAGGGCTATATAGTAGAGTCAGTATAAGAAAACCTTACATCCTGGCCAGAAGTACAGAAATGATCAAAATACAATTAGGAACTGGCAAAAGCCACAATGGCTTGCTTGAAGGACACCCCACCCCAGAAAAAGAGGAGGACATGCTGAGCAAACATGTTATAGAGTTGGGCTGTAACTGAATGACCAATCCACATGACAATAACAACAACAGTAAGTAAGACAACAAAAGGAGATCAAGGGGATACAAATAGGAAAGGAAGAAGTCAAACTTTCACTATTTGCAGATGATATGATAGTTTACCAAGCGACCCAAAAATTTCTACCAGGAACTCCTACAGACGATAAATGTGGTAGGATACAATATTAACTCAAAAAAAAAAAAAAAATCATTAGACCTCCTATATACAAATGATAAATGGGACAAGAAAAAAAATAGCCATAAATAACATAAAATATCTTGAAGTAACTTTAACCAAACAAGTGAAAGACTTGAATGACAAGAACTTTTAAGTCTTTGAAGAGAGAAACTGAAAAACTCTCCAATGCTTTTGGGTAGGTATGATCAACATAGTAAAAATGGCAATCTTACCAAAAGCATTCTACAGAGTCAGTGCATCCACATTTAAAAAAAAAAAAAAAAAAACTAACACAATTCTTCACAGACCTCAAAAGAACAATACTCAACTCCATATGAAACAAAAAAACCCAGGATAAAGCAATCCTGTACAATAAAGGAACTTCCAGATACATCACCATCCCCAACTTCAAGCTGTACTACAGATAGTAATAAAAACATATTGGATTTGGCATAAAAACAGACACGTGGATCAATAGAACCTAAGGGAAAACCCCAACATTGATCCTGACACCTATGAACACCTGATAATTTAACAAAGAAGCCAAAATTGTTTAAAGAAAAAAGGAAAGCATCTTCAACAAATGTTGTTGGCATAACTGGATGTCAACATGTAACAGCATGCAATTAATAGATCCATATACATCACCATGCACAAAACTCAAGTCAAAGTGGATAAAAACACCTGAGCATAAATCCTATTACACTGAACCTGACAGAAGAGAAAGTGGGCAGTAGCCTTGAAGGAATAGGCACAGGAGACCACTTCCTAAATGGAACACTAGCAGCACAGACACTGAGAGCAATAATTAATAAATGGGACTTCCTGAAACTGAAAAATTTCTGTAAGGACATAGCAAATAAGAAAAAATGCAAAACCTACAGAATGGGAAGAGATCTTCACCAATCCAACATCTGACAAAGGGCTGATCTCTAAAATATATAATGAACTCAAGAAACTAGACATCAAAATATCAAATAATCCAATTTAAAAAATGGGATACAGATCTAAACAGAGAGTTCTCAACAGAAGCAGCTCAAATGGCCAAAATATATTTAAGGATTGGTTCAACATTCTTAGTCATCAGGGAAATGCAAATCAAAACAACTCTGAGATACCATCTTACACCTGTCAGAATAGCTAAGATAAAAAACACTGATCACAGCTTATGCTGGAGAGGATGTAGATAAAAGGAAACTCTTCTCCACTGTTGGTGGGAGTGCATACTTACACAGACATTTTAGAAATCAATATGGCAATTTCTCAGAAAACTGGCAATCAATCTACCTCAAGTCCCAGAATTTCCACACTTGGGCATACCCAAAGGATGCTCAATCACACCACAAGGACACTTGCTTTACTATGTTCCTAACAGCATTATTTGTAATAGCTAGAACCAGAAACAACCTAGATGTCCCTCAACTGAAGAATAAGTAAAGAAAATGTGGTACATTTACACAATGGTACTCCAGCTGTAAAAAAAAAAAAAAAACAGAGACAACATGAAATTTGCAGGCAAATGAATGGAACTAGAAAAAAATCTAGGTGAGGTAACCCTGACCCAGAAAGATAAATATATTAAGTACTCACTCATTAGATGTAAATAAAGGATAAACAGGCTACAATCCACAACCCAAGATGCTAGTTAAAAAGGAGGACCCTAAAAGGGATGCAGGACCCACCCTAGAAAGGGGAAATAGATAAGATCTCCCGGGTAGACTGGGGCAAGGCAGGAGTAGAGGGGACAGAGGGGAGATGAGAGCATGAGGGGAATGGGAAGGTTGTACTGGGGGAGGAATGGAGAGGGAAAACAACAAAAGTGCAATCCTGATAGAGGGAGCCATTACAGGGTTAAGGGGGAAACCTGGTGGCAGGAAAATTCCCAGGAATCCACAAGGATGACCCCAGCTAAGACCCCAAGCAATAGTGAAGAGGGTGCCTGAACTGGCCTGCCCCTGTAATCAGGTTGGTGATTACCATAACTGTCATCATAGAACCTTTATAAAGTAACTTATGGAAGCATATACAGAGATCCAAAGCCAAGCATTGGGCTGAGCTCCTGTAGCCCAATCAAAGCGAGTAAGAAGGGATTATATAAACAAGGGGGTCAAGATCATGATGAGCAAACCCATAGAGACCAATGAACAGAGCTAGTAGGAGCTCAAAGACTCTAGACTGACAGCTCCCCAGCTTCATGGGGACTGAACTAGGCCCTCTGAATGTGGGTGACAGTTAATGTGGCTTGGTCTGTTTGTGTGGCCCCTGACAGTGGGACCAGAATTTATCCCTGGTGCATGAGCTGGCTTTTTGGAGCCCATTCCCTATGGAGGGATGCCTTGCTTAGCCTTGATACAGAGAGAAGGGATTGGTCCTGTCTCAACTTGATATGCTAGGTTTTGTTGACTCCCTACTCCTCTGTAAGGAGTGAATGCGGTTGGGGCCAGGGGAGGGGGTGGGGAGGCCATGGTTGAGGTGATGGAGGGGAAACTGTGGTTGATATGTAAAATGAAAAAGAAAAAAAAACAACAACAACAAAAAGAAATTTGACCACTAACAGGACATAAATTATGTGTAAACATATATGCAGAGTTATCTCCATTGCTTGAAGTGTGACAAATAAAGTCATTTCAAATACTAAATTAGCTAATATATTTGTTTCATTCACACATAAATGTATGTATGAACAATTGTATATGTGTGTACATACATTCTTTCATTATGTAAGAGATGATGTTCAGAGTGTTATGTGACTTGCCTGAGGGTACCCTACTATGGATGCCAGAATAGGGAGGGTCCCCAGCTGGAGATTCCTGCTCTAGACTGCCCTACCCTGCCAGTGGTCCCTGGTTATCTCTGTGGGTGCACCGAAACTAGGCAGAACATCTTTCTGACAAATGCCTATAAAGAAATCAAAGTGACTTTGATTCTGGAGTCAAATTTTAACAAGTAGGTGGCTGCACAAATGAGTAAGGTATATAAACAATGAGGATCACTGACATGTGTACACACACACACACACACACACAAAACAGCTAGAGAGGAAAGATGTACATGGAGAGAAAGGATAGGACAGACTGAGATGGAGGGGAAGAGACAGAAGGAACAGGTATAAAGAGAGACAGAGACTATAAAACAAATGGGACAAAATACTGGCCTCTATGTTTAGGCATGAGTCAGTCAGCAGTCTATGATAGTTTTCAATCTTTTAATTTTTGTAAGTATGTCAAAGTAAAAAGTTAACAAAAGCTAAAGGAAATTTAGCTTTCTTTTCTCCAAGCACAGCACTCCTTCCTTTAATAATACAAGGACAGAGGCTGCCAAAATGTTGCTAAATGCCAACATTTGCTGCAATTGCTGAGGCCCTGCACTAAGTCCCCTCATGTCCAGAGCAGGGCAAAACCATGTGTAACTCCAGTTCCAGAAGATCTGCTGTCCTCTTCTGATGTCCATGGGTACTGCATGCATATGTGCACAGACATACACACAGGCAAAACACATAAAATAAAATAAAATCTTAAAGATACCAAGGACAGCCCAGCAAAGCAGAGCATCCCCGTCCTGGTTATGTGACCCCAAGAAGGTCATTTCTCCTTTCTTCCTGTTCCCCTGCTGTAAAAAGGGCTACACTACAGACACGAAGTCCTCCAACCCTATCCCCTTAAAGGAATACCTACCATCAGACTCGCTTTCTTCAGACTCCATCCCCATTGATCCCATGGGCTCTGGGACTGAAATCAACTCGTTGGCAGCAGCTTCAGGCATCTCCAGCTGCTGGATGGTTCTCAGGGAATCTCCATGTTCGTCAGCCTTTTCTAAGTTACCCATTGCCTCTGACAGGACGTGAACTGTGCTCCATGCTTTGGAAGCAGGAGTTTGCCCACTTTCTGTTTCGTCACTTGAAAAACAAGAGGAAATGCATTTACTCTCAGGTGGGTTGAGACCTTTCTGCAGCTCAGACTCTTCAGGGTGTGTGTCTATCTTCTGAGCAGAATGTGTTCTTGTTGGAGGTACCAGGGTCAGTTTCCTTTCGCTGAGGAGCCCAGAGGCATCACTGCATGGAAACTCAGTGCATGCTAATGGAAGGAGAGCTTGCTTACCCCCAACCTCACACTCACTGCTTATCTGAGATGTTTCATTCGCCACATGAATAAGTGACATTTGTTCTTTTGGAGCACAGCATTCACCAGCTTGATGACAAGGAGTACTCAATGAATGAGCTGAGGCTGTCTGTTCTTTTTCACTACTGGAGCTGACCACACCCTCCTTTCCTGCAGTCATGGTGGGTAAAGGAGGAACTGTGGCAAATGGCATGCCTCCATCTCTCACTACAACTCCATCACTGTGCTCCTGGTCTGGCGTATTTCCAAGCAGTGTCCTCACTGCCAGTTCATCACTACTTGCATACACTTTCCCATCTTTATCATCACCCACTGTCATCAACGTCCTTCCTGTTGGCTCATCACCCCTCTCACACACTTTCCCATCCTCATCATCGTCCAGAACTCTCTGAATAGCTGCGAGGGTCTGTGGCGATATGGAGCCTGCATCTGCAGTGGCCCACAAGTTCCTCTCCCTAGACTGCCTTCCCTCTCCACTCTCCGGCTCCTCTTCTGAGCTACTTCCCAGCATGGCTGCCTGCATAGCCAGTAAAGTTCTTGGAGAAGGGGGTGTGGCCTCTGGCTCTTTCTCTGGCTTCACTTTCTCATGGGGTGATGACTTCAGGTCAAAGGACATGCTATGCATTTTGCTTGAAGAAGGAGAAGTCTCTGAATCCACATCCATAACTTTCTTAGCTTGAATACCTAAAAGAAATTATAACACTTCTCACCATGCAATTCACAGTATGACAATGTATTTCTGGGAATCCTGGATCATAAACATAGTGACACATTTTTATTAAATTCATTCACTAATTCTAAAGTGGTTGGCTCTGCAGTAGCAAATCCAATAGTGACTAACTATAACTGTTAGTTAACCAATATTCCACTGACTTCATCATGATTTCTTTTCCCTGAACTCAGACCTACAGAGTACCCAAGGTTCTATTTTGTAATTTAAAATTTTATTTTGCCACATTACACAGCCAAAAGTAAAACAAGTACTTTTATCTATTTCATAAAATACAATGCCATTTTAATTATTTCATGTTTGTATAGAAAAAAAGAAATTAGATCCTAGTGTTAGTGCTCACACATGTGAATTTAAATTTAAAAAATGATCTTCTTCCCTATTATTTTAATTACTAGCAAATTCAAAAAATGTTTTCGAAACTAAGTTCTTTATCATAAAATCTGAAATGAAAAAAATTCCTTTATCTCCTAAGGAAAAGCAACAGCTAAGAAAATAGAAATATATCTGATAGTTGATGAAAGCACTAATGGTATGGGTTAATGAGGCAGTGAGATGGCCTTTTGATTTAAGCCGGCTTTACAAATGGTGACTTTCTGATTACTATCTACCTATCTATTTATTTCTGTGTGTGTGTGTGTGTGTGTGTGTGTGTGTGTGTGTGTGTGTGTGGTAATGTAAATGAATGCCCTGAATGTGGGTGTCTGGGAAAGTCAGAAGAGAATGCTGATCCCCCTGGAGTTGCAATTACAGGCACTTGTGAGCCACTTGTGTGGGTGACTTGGAACCCATGTCTTCTGGAAAAGCAGGATGAGATCTTAATTGCTCAGCCATCTCTGAAGTTCCTTGTTGTGTATTTTTAATGCTAACTTCATATTTTAAATATTACTTTGATGCAAAATATTTCGTCTCACGTGTTTTTAAAATAAAGTAAATATTACATTAACACCCATCACAGTGAAAAATAGTCAAGGTCCAAGGAAATGTTAGAGGCATTCTACTGTCAGTGAGAACAAAACTCTACCTTAAGTAGCTAATGTGCATAATAAATTTATAAATAACAGAAGCCACTATACACTGGACACTTTACAAACAAGACCTGACAGAGCCCATAGAACAAACTGTATCAGAGATACAAAGTGCCTGTCATGAAAGTGAAGACTCACAAAGGTTAGGCCACTTGCTCAAATTAAGTGTCAGAACTAGAAATCAAAGCCATGTCTGCTTCTAAATCCCATGATTTTAACTTCTGTTTTCTCCATCACACCAAGACTGCAGCTCATTTTCTCTCACTTTAGAAAAGTGATATGATATGAAAAGGAGGTACACTAGGGGCAGAAAGGTTTAACTAGGGAAGGAATTGGAAGAATAGAAGAAAGGTGAAGGTTATAGGTGAGAAGGGTCAACCAAAACCAATGACACATACAAAAACCACATGGAAATGCACCACTATATAATTTAAAAAACACAATAAAAATTTCTTTGAATGGAAGTATCCTGTGTGAGTTGAAGATATTGCTCTTAGAAGCCATGGATATTGATTAAAAATTCCAGTGCCATGTGCAAAATACTCCCGGTGAGTCTCTGACCAGACAGCCCCAAGAAGCTCCCAAAACAATCTAGGCCATTGCTGTTGCTCTTAACTCTCCACTGGAACTAGAAGGTAAAGCCCTATTGCAAATGACACAACACACCCTGGACACAGGACACAGGAGCTGGAAGTGAGCTGGAAGCCCCTTGCCTGCTGCCCAGCTTCCACAGAACTGAAAGGTATAAGGCAAGCTGCTGGGAGTAAGGAATTTTCAAGTCTTTCCTGGTGGTAAATGCTATATGCTACAGTTTTGGCCTGACAAACTAGATGTGCCCATAGTGCAACAGTGGTGAGAATACTCTGGGGTCAATCAACATATTACTCAACTGGATCTGCTGCCCACCCCACAGGAGGAAAGATGTCTGAGACTATATACCCAGTCAAAACTCATGGCTAGAGAGGTCATAGGCCCTAGGGAATAATGTACTGCTATTGTTTTATTCATTGAACATGTAGTCCAACGGCTTCCCAAACCCCTTACATTTGTACCTCAAAACCAGTGCTGCTGCCAGCCTGGACCAAAGACACTCCTCCCTGAAGAGGGTGATAATCAATGCTGAATTCTTGAACAAGCAACCAATGAGTACTCAGCCCTAAATGAGACTTTCATATGGTGCATACACACACACACATAACCTAATACCCCAAAATGGGGAAGAGTAGGTATAGAAAGAATTCGGGAGCCTAAGGATGGAAAGAAAGACTACAAAATGCTATGTTCTGGATAAGGGATGGCCATCAGAATCATAAGACACAGCAGCTGTGGCTACCTGCATAAGCCCTAACAAGAACCTGAAGAGCACAGTTCTCTTGATAGAAGTTCTCAGATGCTCTGTCTCTGCTTTGACTGGCACAGAAGAACATAGCCCATCATGGCAGGGAAGGCATGGTAGCAGCAGCAAACTGCATCCCTATCCTGTCTTTTAACTATCAATGATGGTACCTGGTACCTTTTATCAAGATGTAGTGTGAGGTGTCTTCAGAGACCACTCTCCTTGACTCTATCTCCTTCAGAAATCCTCCCTCATCTTCGTATTGCCTCTGGATTTGTCCTGAGTGCTGCTGGTTCATTTCCTTTTGGACATTTTCTATGTGCTGGTTTAGGTAGTTTTTCTTAAGCAAACCTTTCAGCTGGTACTGTGAAAAATCGTTAGACTCCTAGGAACAAAAGAAACAAAACTTGATGCCTTACATTAACACAGACACCACTGCTTACCAACCCATCCCCAAAGGGTATAGTTTCATAGATAAAATAAAACTAGAAAACTAATGGGCAAGGGGTTCCAGTGGTAACTTCCTTTTTTGTTTCTTGTTTTGTTGTTATTGTTTGTTTTTCAGACAGTCTCTCAATAAGTGGCCCAAGCTAGTCTGGAACTCACTACATAGACCAAGCTGGACTTGAAATTATAGAAATACTCCTGCCTCTGCCTCCCAAGTACTGTGATTATTAGCACACATGACATTAAAACAACCTTTAAAAAAATATCTTTGAAACAAAAACAATTAAGCAAAAGAAATTATGAAGGAACTTTTTATTATTTAATCATTCATTCAAAAATCATTTCCTGAGCTAGACTACATGACTGTGGCATGATATAGGATGGTAGCTCAGCAAAACACAACCTTCTAGATACAAGTGAAGTACCTAGCACTGTCCTTGGTCCACATATAACACATAATAAAGCAATCAGAGGTAATAATCATAATTAACAAGTATAAAGCCTTTCCCATTGAGGGCATTCTAAGCACTTCTATATAAAATACCCTGATTTATTCTCACAGACATCCAATGAGACTTTTTCCTATCTCCAGTCTGCAAATGATGGACTTGAGACTTCAACACCAGACTCACATGCAAAACCTCAGACAGATGACTTACAAAACTGAGTCTATGATTATCCCTGCCACTAGGACATGGATCTTCTCTTATGAACACCACATGTGTATGATGGATAAGTCATACTAAGGTCCATTTGGACTACTTGGAACCTTTCTTCTTATGGAACCACCCTAGCCTTCCAGCTCTACCAACACCATGGTTGCAAAGAGAAAAAACAAAAACAAAATAAAACAAAACAAAACAAAAAACAAAAAAAAAAAAAAACACTAGGTGATGTCTTTCTCCTTTCCTTCTCACTCCACTCAAATCTTATCTCTATCAGTCATACTCAGAAATTCTTCACAACACCCCCCCCCAAAAAAAAACATGCCTGAAAGATAGATTGTTTTCCCCTTGAAATAAATCAAAGAAACAAACAAACAAAAACTAAAAACAAACAAACAAAAAAATTATTTCTAGTACCCCGAAACCTAATATCAATTCTATGTACCTTATCTGAACTAACTACATGGAAAATCAGACCTACAAGATAAATCAACTTTTTTTTTTTCATCTTTTGGTACCAAAGTAAAAAGTATTTTGAAGTCCACAGCAAATTAAAAACAAAAACAAAACAACTACATCAATTGCTGTAAATCTACATTCCACCTCAATGTTTAAGGAGAACTTCTGGAAACAGCAGGTAGTGGCAAAAGGAAGGAAAATGGTACTCACACATCAGAAAGTAAATCTAGCAAGTGCTCAATGGGAGCACAAACTAAGTAAACAGCAACTATCAGGACACAACAACACACAACCACGCACACCACACCTGTCTCGGCTTCCTGTGACTTTAAAGTCACCATACTCAGGCCACCCTATTCCCACCATTCACAAAGAAGGAGAGGAACACTCATACAACTCTGTATCTGGAATGTCATACTTGAAGTATTTTCCATATTATGGTTAATTTGTAGGCAACATATGTTGTGGTTTAAAGTAACTTCTAAGACAACACTGAGGTATTGTCTGAGAGTGTAGCCATAATCAGGCTAGGCATGTTCTGTGCTGAGAATTAGAATACCATTTACAAGACACTGAGAACAAACAGAAGAAACGCCCTACTCTTGGCCAGAATATTTCTCTAGATATCTATGAGTTGTAATGAATCAATAAACTATGCTTCGTGGGATGTGAGACATAGAAATTCTGTGTCCCTGCAGCTGGACTACTGTCTAAAGTGGAGACTTAGAGTCTAAGTACCATGTCTCTATTTCCCCTTCTTCGAGTTTTGCTGAAGTTCAGTTCTAAGTGTTGGTGTGCTACTGTGCACAGCTGGGTGGTTTACCTCTGGCATTGCTTCAAACAATGTTCGTCTTCGCTTGGTAAACTCTTTCATGTCAGTCAAGATCTCGTGCTTTACTTCAGGCGGCAGGCTGCTGAAATCCTCAGACTCAATATCTATGGCCTGAGGATTATGAAAGAATTCTTCCTGTGGGAGGTAAAATGCTGGCATCATTTAATTTATATTTACCCATTTAGGTCTCTTCACTGTTGCACTTGCTGTGTTTATATCCTAAATTCAGCTCTACATCATCTAGTACACATTTGCAACAGGCATCACAGTGAACAAACAGGTAAGTCCCTTCATTTGTTCACTTACTCCAAAGCAAATGACTTACCAAGCACATATACACCACCCAGACCCTGCTCTAAAACTCTGCGTACTGTGGTGATTGTGTATATAAGTGTCCCCAAATCTTAGGAGTAGAGCAAGTCATATAAGCAAGTAAATAAATAAGCAAGATAACTGTGAGAACATCAACAAGCTGATCTGATGAGAGTAATCAGGGAAGCAAAAAGGGAAAAGAAAATCTTATGTGATAGATGGAGAAAACCTATCCAACTGATGTCCTGGGAAGAGATTTTAAAAATACCAAGAGCCTGATGGGAGTGGGAAGCCTAAACTAAGATAGAACACGTGTAAGGGTTCTGAAATGAGGAAAAGATTTGTGGATAAGAACCATTCTTATAGTCACATTAGTTTTTGTTTTTAAAGAAAACAATATCTTGAAGAAATTAATTTGGGGGCTGGAGAGATGGCTCTGTGGTTAAGAGCACTGGCTGCTCTTCCACAGGATCTGGGTTCAATTCCTAGCACCCACATAGCAGCTCAAAACCGTCTTTAATTCCAGTTCTGGGATTCGACATCCTCACATAGACATAGACACAGGCAAAATACCAGAGCACATAAAACAAAAATAAATTTTAAAAACTAAAGCTTGAGAAAAAAGAAATTAAGTTGTTTAAATCACACAGCCTGTGAACTCTGAAATTCTGACACAAGATCCTTAGTTCTAACCACCAGCACCTACTAATGTCTGACTGTCTGATGCAGAGACAATGCAGAGCCTCAAAAAGATATAAGAACCCAAGGTTTTAGCTCAAAAGTCTTCTACTAGACCTACTAAAACAATAGACATTGGGGGTCAAAGAATGTTATCTATTACCTTAATAAGCTTGAGAAAAATGTTCATTCAAAAAACTTGTCTGGTACTTTGGAAGAGGAGCCATTGCTCTTGAGCCATCTCCCTAGCCCCGACTGTACATGGGAGGGAGCCTATGAAGTTACCCAGGAACACTCTGACAGCATCTGCATGGAAAACTGCAAGAGACAAGCACCTCCTTGTGCTTATCAAACCCAATAACCATGGCAGAGGATAAATAATAAAAATGGCCAATTATATATGACTAACTTACATTGCAAAAGGTAATTAGAATATATGCACAGGTATGAATATACACAAATATATTGCACACATCTATATCTGGCTCAGGGGACAGTCTTTAAATATGCCAAAACTGTGTAAATTATTTATTATCATAAAGATAATCTCTTGTTTTTGCATTTATTTGTGGCACTGGGGACCGCCAAATCTAGGGCCTCATGCATACAAATAAGCACTTACCAACAAGTTACATTCTTGGCCCCAATAAAGTGTTCTTATATTTTACAGAAGCATGTATTACTATTTACTTCTTGAGTGGTTAGTTGTTTTTAAGAGAAAATAAATTATTTTGGACACAAAGAAATGCATAATGAAATGGACATGGTGGTTCACAACTTTTTTTAATCCTAGCACTTTGGAGGCAGAGGCAGGCAGAACTATGAGTTCTAGACCAGCCTGAACCAGTAAGGTCCAGGACAGCCAGGACTACATAGAGAAAAACTATCTCAAAACCTCCCCCAAGAAAAGGAAGAAAGAAAGAAGTACATAATGCCAGATCCACCATCTAAGTGCATGGAATGAACAGTAAGTGTAGATTTTACATATACACATATATATAAGTATATACATATATGTATACAACAAACATGCACAGTAAAAGGGGAAGCTATCTTTACTTCTTTTTGAGAACTTTTATAACCTACCTCAGGAGGATTATTCATTTTCATCATTCCAAATAATGAAACACATTCTGAATTGCCATGTTATGTGAGTACCTGCAAAGCTTGCTTTTGATCCATTCTTGCTTGCCACTGCTTTTCATCTTCCTCTTCTGAACTGTAGTCAAGGAAATTCTTTTAACTTCTATGATTTTTAACAAACACTTAAAAGCATACTTCTTGAGCTCAAGGTCTATAATAGTGACTACGATGGGAAGGCTGTGACTCTAGGATCTAACTGTCTGGTGGGGGACACATGCAAGTAAGCAATTACAATATGAACTCCTAACTCACTCCACAAGGAAAACAAGGTGTGGCCTCGTGAGAAGAGGCATGTCACAAGTGTCAGACTTTGAGGCCTCAAATCCTCCCACCATCTCCAGTGCACTCTATCCCATCCACCTAGGGCTCCAGATGTGAGTTCTCAGCTGTTCGTGCTGCCATGCCTTCATTCTGCCATAACAGACTCTAAACCCCTGGAAACATATACCCAATTAAAGAGTTTCTTTTAGCAGTTGCCTTGGTCATGATGATTTATCACAGCAACAGAAAAGTAATTAATACAGACAGTCATGGAAGCATCCCAGAATCTCCTATAATTAGTGGATTTGCTATGAATAAACAAAAGACCCAAATGCAGGCAATAAAGGAAGTACGCAGGAAGTGTTCTAGGTACATAAACTGAGTTCTACAATCATCTGGAAAGGAAAAGCTGCCCATGACAGTGAGGAAACCAGGGGATGAGGCTGGAGAAGAGTGATTAAAGAGCTGAAAGTTTATCCTGAAGAAATGACAAGTTAGGCCAGGCAAGGTAATGTAGGCTAGTAACCCCAGCACCAAGGAGGCTACAGCAGGAATCAGAAATTCAAGGTCAGTCTGAACTACAGAGCAAATTCCAAGCCAGACTAGGATAGGCACTGAGAATCTGTCACTTTAAAAACCGCACAAGCCCCAGAGGTTTCTCCAGGGCTGAGATGACAGGCATGTACTGCCAGTATGCCCAGCTCTTTATGTGGGTATGACGGATAGAATTTAAGTTCTCATACTTGAGGGGCAAGCCCTTTAATAACTAAGCCACCTCCGCCACCTCCCCAACCTCTAAAGTGATACTCCTTAGTAGATAAACATTTACCTATGTTTTTCTTCCTCTTGCAAAGGTGGCAAAACATAGATGTCATCCTTTCTTTGAACTTGAGTAAGACTGGGTAGAGCTTCATTTCTGAAAAGCACATATAGCTTTCAACAAAATTGTATGAAATGCATTTTTAGTCAATCATCTCCTCCCACAGGGTTTGCACAAACCCTGCTCAAGGGCATCAGTAGCCCCCCTTCATCTGGCTATCTTCTCCTGCCTACATCTCCCTAGAGCTATTATTGTCACAACTAAGAACCATGTGGAGGCAAAGGTGAATTATCTAGGGCTCCCCAGAGCCTTGGTTGTAGCCTCAGCTACAATCAGTTTATCAAAGTAAAAAGTTGGATTGCAATGAACCCCATGGTAGAGCACCTGACCAGCACATGTCTTCCATTTCCTACAACTATTAAAAAAAAAAATACAAACCAATAAACTAGTTAATCAAAAGAAGCAATTCAACAGCTTTTCTTTCTCATAGCTACAATTCTGCACCCAAAGTCTGATGCTATCCACCCCTCTCCTCACTCTTCCTATTGTTAAAAATACAAGGAGAACAGTGAAATCCAGTAAGTGTCCATAGCACAGTCCTCCTCTTGCCTTTTGCTTCTGAAGGCAGTTTTCAGAGCCTGTCTCTTCAGAAAGGTTTTCAGAAGCTTCTCCGTGGTTCTTCTGGAGTCAGTGGATGCGGAATCCTTCTTCTGCCTTCTTTTTGCCTGTGAAAATGAAGCACATGGTATTTCACCTCAGGTGCTGGTCTACTACAAACATTTCCTTATCTGAATTCAGGGACAACAGCTGTTCTAGTGCTTCCTCCCCACCGCTGTCAGTAAGCATCTTCAGGTTCTGTGCCGCACAGGACACACAGAGAACTTGCCTAAATACCACCTACATAGCATATCTGTGCAGTTATTAGCTTATTGTCAGTTTCTTGTTAATAAACTTCAATACCACCAAGAATCTAAACCTTTAGACAAATTATTATAAAATCCATTTGATACTGTTTCAAAAGATGTATAATTTGTATGTACCTTTGTCCCCCCCACCCAAATTCAACACTATGTTAGAAGAAATCCTTAGCATGTATAAAAAGATATTCTAATAAATGTCAAGATAGTCTAATAAAAGAACAATTTCACCACTGAGACAGTACTGTCTCCAAGAAGGCATTCTAGAGGATAGCCTGGATCAGTGCAGTTTTGTTGCTATTCTGCAAGTCTTTTTGTTTGTCTGTTTGTTTGTTTTGTTTCCCCATTACCAAGGACACTCAATCACACTCTCTAGGAGACATCTCTTCAGTAGGAGCTCCACAATGAGCAATAGTAGCCCAGTCAGACAATATGTGGACCACCTACACAGATATTCTAAAGAAACTATTTTAAGAATTCTAGTGGTCTCAGTCAAGAAATAAATTTGATCATTACATATAGAATATACTCTCATAAAAGTTTTCTAAAGACAAAACTATTACAAGCCTGAGGCAGTGTTGCATGTCTTTAATCCCAGCACTCAGGAGGCAAAGGTAGGCCTCTGTGAGTTCAAAGCAAGCTTGATTGATTATATACAAGGAGTTCCAGGAAAGCTGGGACTACATAAAGAGATCCTGTCTCAAAAAGAGAAACAAACAAAACTGTTGAAGAAAAATTTTTAAAAACAATTGAAAGTAAATTGATTACATGTCAAAACTACTCACTGAAAACATACATAAAACTGGGCAGAGGTGGCACACACTTTTAAGCTGTACCTCTAGGGAGGCAGAAGCAAGAGGATCTCTGAGTTCAAGAACATCTTGGTCTATAGAGTGAGTTCAGAACAGCCAGGGTTACACAGAAAAAACCCTATGTTGCAAAGCCAAAAACAAAACATATACAGGTAACCTTATACAGACTGAACAGGTTGTTACATTTAGGAATATATATGAATATACATAAACACAATAATAATGGGAGGGGCAAAAGAGGCTATGAATTTGAAGGTTTGAAGTTGACTGGGGAAGAATATATGAGAGTTTGGAAGGAAGGAAAGGAAGAAATGTTGTAATTGAACTTCATATAAATTGCTAATGGGATCTAAAAATAAAATAAGATGATATTTACCAAGGTCTGTTTCTTTAGCAGTGGAGCATCTCCATCAAATACAAAAATAGGACGAATACGAAAAAACAGAAGTTTGCAAAGCCGGTGGAACAATGTGAGAAGATGTGCATTTTCTACAGGGTTCCCATGGCGATCTCGGACTCCTTTAAGTGCTTGGTTTAACCAGATGCTAATATCTGGAGGGTCAGTAAAGGAAAACAGTTTGGAATTTCCAACTTCATTCTCAAAATTTTCCAAAAGATGATACCAACAAACAGAGAACATTAAACATGCATCACCACTTGTGTGGAGCTGAAAAGCACCTGGCCATGATGGAATCTGCCCAGTCAGCTAGCTTTTCTGTGGCTCTTCACTACTTTCCACACACTGAACCTTAAATTCATAGGCAGATCCACCCCCTCAAAAGTCTAAATGGCAAACACAGCTTCTTTAGGTGCCCAATTTAAATTTAACATTTCACACGAGTCTACACACATATGCATGTGCGATGACATGAAAGCCAAAAGGAAACATTTAGGAGGAGAGGATGGGGAGAAGGTGGGTAGAGGGGTTGGAGAGGGTAAATATGAACAAAGTACAATGACAGAGATGTAAGAATATGTCAAAGAAACCTATTTTGAAATATAACTAAAAACCAAAAACTTTAAGAAAGGATTTTGTAATGAAATTGACTTCTTTGGAAAGAAAGTCTGCCTACTAAGCCTGGAGATGGAGCCTAGAAACTTACAGAGTATGCACAAAGGCCAGGTTTCAGTTATGAAGACTGCTACAACAAACAAGCTGAGCAAGTGTGGCTTCATGAAACTTTAATCCCGTGACTCGGGAGGACTGTGGGTGACAGGCCAGCCTGGACTACAAAGCAAGTAAGGTTGTCTCAAAAACCAAACAACAAAAATGAACAGCAAGCTAATGTTCTACAAAATTCTTTGTAGAACACGTTTCTGGCAGACAACTTGAAATTTTATAGCAAAAAGAGTTAAAAATTGTATTCTGTTCTACCTGAGAATTCCAGTTAACAAGTATCTAAATTATTCTATTATTAATAAAAACTCAGGAGTCAAATAGTAAGGTATGAGCCTAAGAGATCCAAAAAGTGATGGAGAAAATCCCAGCTGACCCTCCTCTCTGCTTTTCCAAGACACCCCTCCAAAAAAAAAAAAAAAAAAAAAAAAAAAAAAAAAAAAACTCCTAAAGACCCTTCTTCTTCCTCCCTGTGTCCTTCTCTCCCCATCTGAGTCTACCAAGACTCTATGGTTCATTCTGGTCAGCTGCACTTGAACTCTATCCTCTGAATCAAGGCTCAGTTTACTGATAGTTTTGGGGGACAGAGAGAACAAATCTCCCACAACATGATACAATATATAAAAATGCTTAAATGTAACAATGAAAATTAAAAAAAGGTTTGAAAGCTTTGCCATGGTTCACTGCTTAAAACTCAATTATATTATGCTGAGTTCCTAGGATAGCATGTTCTTAGGAACAGGTCCAAAACATGTCTAATGATTAAAAATAATTACAAAACATTACTAGAGGGAAGTTAATAGGTTATAAAAAACTGAAGAGTGTAATTCTCTTTATAAGCCAAGTAGTACGTTAAAGGCAGAAAAACTGGCCAGACACTGTATTAAGGACAGCTACCTCTGCTAAAACAAGTCTGTTTTCTTCTTGCAGTTTTCTCACTTTTTGAACCATTTTTAAAGATGCCTGCTTTGGGTTTGTTGCTGTTGTTGTTGTTTTGTTTTAATGTACTTTGCATTTGTTCCTAAGAAGGAACCGGCATCCTGCTGGATATCTGCTCTTCACAAGTTCCTGCAGTTCACCATTAGAGAACTTTTCTAGGCCTACATCTTCCCTCCAATCTACACCACCTGCAGAGGCTACCCCAAACAACCCATTACACCCCGCACATGTGTCTCCAAGACTAGAACAGCACTCTGTCCTAGATAACCTGGCTGACACCTACCTGACTGCTTGAAGACATTTCAAATTCAAACTCCATGCCTTCTCCACTGAGCTGCTTGTGCCCCACCAAAGTGAAGCAGTTTCACATGGGCCTGAGTTCTGGGTATCAGTTCTCATATCATCCTGATCCAACCAATTTGATACCCTACCAGTTTTACCTTGCAGGTACATCCACCCTTTAATATTGCACCCCTATGTTATTATCTACAAAGTTCATGCCTAAGAACTCAAATTAAAACACACACACATACACACACACACTTATAAAATGTTTTAGGTAGATAATGTTTGACCACACTCACATCAGCTATTATAGGAATATGTGGCCTGTAGTTTGCAGGTTTGCTATACCTGGAAGTACACTGAGGTTTGCCAGTATTTCAAATCCATAAACGATCTGGCCTGTGCTCATCTCACCGTCACATTTTGGACTACTACACTTCTAATATCAGAAACCACCCAGCAACTTCCTACCACCAAGAAACCCCCCCCACCATATGCCAATCTCATTGTGTCCTACTGAGTGTCAAATTATGTGACATTTTCCTAGCCCCAATAAACACTTCCAGATATGCATCTCTATGAGATGTATTATTCTATGGCAGAAATATGGGCATCTAACACTGAAAGTGTATACTGTTATGGAATATACTGTCCAGTACAGGGAACAACAAGCCTGTGATCAAACTTGTTTGTGTAAGCCATTTTTGTTTGCAATAAACTCCCTCCATAAAGTCTAACATATTGCAGATAGTGTGCACTATTTTTTTTTAAAAAACTGAACATTTTTAATGTCTGTTGTCTATCATTCACTACCACCAAAGTTACTAGTGTAATTTGTGTCCTAAGGCAATGTTTATGTTTCTACTGCTGTGATAAAACAACATGACCTACAGCAAGTTGGGAAGGAAAGTGTAGGCTTTCACATCACAGTCCATCACTGAGGAAAATCAGGGCAAGGCAGGTAAGAGCTGATGCAGAGGGCCATGGAAGGATGCTGCTTACTTGCTTGCTCAACAGCCTAGGGGTGGTACCACCCCCACAATGGGCTGGACTCTCCCCCACTGATCACTAATGACAAAAATGCCCTCTACTCTTGTTTGATTTTTTTTTTGGGGGGGGGGGGGGGGGGGGGGACAGGGAGTGGGTGGAAGTAGGGATTCTATGTATAGCCCTGGCTCTCCTGTAACTCACTCTGTAGACCAGGCTGGCTTTGAACTCAAGAGATCCACCTGCCTTTGCCTCCCAAGTGCTGGGATTAAAAACATGCACCACCATCATAACCACTGGCTAGTCTTGCCTGATCTTATGGAGGTATTTTCTCAATTGAAGTTCCCGCCACTCAGATGACTCTAGATGACTCTCATGCCAAGTTGACAAAAAAAAAAAAAAAAAAAAAAAAAAAAGACATTAGTATGTTTATCCCTATAAGCTAGAGTGCTCCCATGTACCAAGCTCATCCAAGATGCTACAGAGATGCATCAAACAATGCATTTGTGAACAAGATGGATACAACCCTTGTCTGAGATGCACATATTCTAACAGCACAAAAGCAAGTAAAATAATTGACACATTCATTAAGTGCAAAGAAACAATAGGAAAGAACAGTGGTTGAGGGTTTATCACTTTAATTACAAAAGACCCATCTCAAGAATAGAACTGGCATGGTACAAGGGGAAACCTAGGGAGAAAAAGAGCAGCAAATACAAATGGCTTAAGGCAGAAGTCACTTCTACATAGGGTCTGTGTAGTGGGTTGGAGGTAAAAGGTTATGTAAGAGTTACAATATACACATCTAAGCAGTTTCCAGAATGTCAGTTAAGACCTTAGTGTTACAACAGCCAACATAAAAGGAGATGATAGTGATGGCATATCTCTAAGATAGGATACATCTTAGAGGAAGGGTTCTACATATTCCGTATTGCTCTGGAAAACTGCTTATGCTTGGTCCATTTCTGCTTGCTACACTGCCATACAGGGCTAAAGAAGTTTCTACACAGTGGATCACTTTTGACTTCAGAATTGAGAAAATCCAATTTCGGAGTTAAAGTAGCTCTTAACTCTATCTACAACACTAATTCCTACACCCTAAGAAAAGATTAAACTTATCCTAAAACACTGAATCTCAGTGAAGCGATTCCTTTCCACATGTAAAATAGCTGTGGCTTACCACTTCTCATGAAAGGCTGAGAGTCCCAACATGAAATTCTTAGTGGAAAAGCACATAAATGACACAGGCTGAAATTTGATTTGTCAGACGTCAACACACATGGAACAAAATTAAATTCTCTAAGTGCTAGAACATAAGTCTGAAACAAAGTCAAAATTTGCTTTAGAGTTGAAACTGAAAGACCCAATAACATTTGAGAACAAAAAGAAATTCTCCTTAGTCCTGAAGTTAGGTGACTGAAAACTAAGTTAATACATATTGGTATGTGTTCAGAGACAGTATTATCTCCCTAATACAAGTAATGTTATACCAGTTTTCCCGCCAGCCTGGTCCCACTGCCGCATCAGCCCCAAATAACACACAGAGATGCTGTATTAGATATAAGGCTGTTGGCCTGTTACTAGCATTTCTTATTGGCTAGCTCTGTCTTAAATATTAACCCATTTCTATTAATCTAAGTGCTTCCACTTAATGGAGAGCGGGTCCGGACCTCTTCTCTCCAGTCTCTACATCTAGAATCTCCTCCCTACTACATCCCCCAGAATCCTCCTTACCTCCCAGTCCCACCTATCTTGCTTTCCTATTGGCCAACAGGGCTTTATTCATTAATCAGTAAGAGAAACATATGTACAGAATGACATCTCCCATCACAAGTAATGCATTAACAGATGTTATTTCCTAGTTTTTCACACAGACATAAACAGTTTAAAAAAGACAGCTATCCACATGGTCCAAAACCCAAACAATTTATTTGGAAAAGTATGTAAATTACAAACCTGAGATAATCATGAATGAGTTCCTTATTAGCAAACAAAACAATAACACCTAAAATTCAGATGCCAGAATTCTCATGATGAAATATAGAAAATTAAATTACAGAAGTAATCAGATTATGACATAACACATGTGACTGTATGAAGACTCTCAATTTTAAATAAATGACCCATTCTTTCAGAAAAGCTTAATAACCTCATCCTAAATGGAAATCAGCCATTTACAGGTCATCTGTAGCTTACTTTCCCTGTGACATCCCGGAACATTGGG